CGCCCCCCACCTCCGATCGTCCGGTAAACTTCTGGTGGGGTACCGCAAACGATCTTCCGTTGGTGCCAGTTCTACCCCCCACCACGCGGCCGCCTCTCCTCCGTCCCCTCCACCGCTTCGGCAACCTACCGAACTCGGTCTTTATCGCTCTACGAGTTTCGTGACATAGTCTACTCGCCTCTCGGCTGCTGCCAGCGCTCTCTCTTTCGCCTTCCCCCCACCAACTCGCTTCCCCGCGTCCATCCGTTCACGCACTCGACCACAGTGGAGGGGATAGCGTTCCCCTCTACGGCGCTATTGAAGCGCGGTGGGGGGAAGTCTTGCGAGGACGCCAAACTAGAAGATCGAACTCTTCGCGTATCTTCTTGCTTTTTTCGCGTCCTTCTTCGTCTTCTTCGCGTACCTCCTCGATTTTTTGTTTCTGTTGCTCCTTTCTCGGTCCAACCATCGATTTCATTCGTTTCTATCTTAACCCCCGTGCTCATTTTTTCCTCTTCTTTTTCTTCTTCCTCCCTTCCTTCCATCCCCACCATACAGCCACGTTACGCGTTGCTATACTTCGCGTTCCACCTTTTCCTTTTCTCTTCCACCGCTTTCTTCCTCCGCTTTCTTTCTCCTCTTCTTTTCTTTTTTTATTTTTATTTTTTTGTTTCCTTTTCTTTGTTTTTTTTTTTTTTTGGCTACGCTCGCTTCCACTTCGATTTTTCGTCTCGAGCAGAACGTTGCCTCCTTCTCCTCGACGCCGTCACGATGGCCGACTGACAACCACTGCCGACGTCCGTTCCTTTTCAGGCTTCTGTCCGCCGGTATATCCTGATTGGCCCTCGCAACCGCGCCGATCGTTAAGATTCGACCAAGTACACCCGCTTCGCCAACTTCCTTCTCGTTGGTGTGCAAGTTTGAACGAAATTGGCTGGGGAACCGGACAGCGATGAAAGTTGCGACCGATCGTCGTCGGGAATTTCGGGGACACGCGAACGATTCCGAGACTTCGTGAACGAGGGGGCGCGTGGCCCCATCGTTCCTTGTTAAAACTTTTTTCTCCCCGGCCAACTTCTTCTCTGTTCGCCGTTAATTATCGTCCCCTGCGCTGATATTTGCATTCGTCGGCGATTCCGCCGAGAAAATCTAATTTTCCTTAGGTAAACCTGCCCTTTCTCGCCACTTTCTTTCTTCGGCCATCTCGCGCTCTCCTTAAGCGTATCCTTCGGCCAGTCGCTGCTAGATGATTTATATTCGGGACGAGACGCGGCTCGTAAATGTCTGCTTACTTTCTCGACGTGCATTGCCTTGTCGTCGATCGCGATCACCGCTGTAAAACTACGTTTCACTTGGATCGTACGGAAAATCCGTCGAAATACCGGTTACTCGAATTTTTATGAATTTACACGTAAATACAATGTAAAAATGTAAGAGTATTTCAAATATCCAAATAGCATGGCGCACTTATCAGGTAAAACGATTGAAGGAAACAATGTAGCTACGATTTGCCGTAAATTGGATCGTTAGAGTACGGAAAATTTGTTAAACAGGCGATGTCAAGTTTGAAAGTAACTTCGCCATTTCAACGAGTAAACATATTTAAATTAAAATTAATTGATTTTGTTCTTTCCACTTCCTTCTACGTGTTCAAGGCATCTCTGCTATTCTCTGTATTTCAATTGTACGACGCTTTCTTTTTAATCACAGCTGTACACCAACCAACCTTCGTACTGTTACTTCTTCTTGCAGACAGAGAATCGGCAGGATGCTGGTGGAAGTATTTCGCACTGCCGCTAACAATGGAACGAAACTTAACGTGAGCGAAGTGATGCACGTGGTGAGGCAGATCGCCGACGATACTGGTAAGTTAAAAACTTATTTATCTGTTAAAATTACACATTCGAAGATACAAAGTGTAACCGAAGCAATTAGAAATCTATCGCGTTCCTTGTCAATTCTAAAGAAAGAAAAGAAAAAGAAGAAGGAAGATTTAAAATGAACAGGTAGAAAATGAAAACGTCGCAATCTTAATTCGACAGTTTACTTTATGATGTGATAAAATCTAAGAATTTTAATTTGGAGATTGCCTTATGCCCGAAACAGACGACTCGAGAAACCTAATTTACTAAATGTTCGTTATACACAGTTTTATTATTCTAAACGTTGCACGTTGTTGGCGTTCGCACATTTGTTTTATTTTACAGCTTCTAAATAAGAAACGAAAGGATTGGAAATAATTCTGAGCCAAATCCTTGACGCACTGCTTGCGCACGTATTTTATAAATTACCTTTCTTTGCTGTCAGACACTGCATCCTCGAGTGTTTTTTATTTTTCCAATTTTCCCGTTTTTTGCTGTCCATTTGTACAACTTATTAACAACGTCGTCTCGAAACGATTTAAAGCATTATCTACGATTTTAATCTGCAATAGCCAAAGTTTATATAGCAAAGTCTACTCTTTAGATGCACGTAAGTTTTATCGTATTTACGTCTTGCATTGAATACGTGTGATTATCGAAAGAGCGATCGATCTTTTACCAATTATCAAAAGACTATCGTATAGCGTTCGCAGATTTCAATGCCTATCGCTTACTCTGTCTATAAAAAAATTCTTTCTATCTATCGGGCAACGAGAAGATCGACAATTTGTACGTTGCCATCGAATCTTCGAAACGTCCATCGTTGCAACTTGTTTCAATCTTACACAGCACTTTTGTTATCTCTGTACTAATAATCACACCGTAGCAAAGTTTTTCTTAGAAAGAAACTTTAATTCCTGCAACCAGGTTTGTTCTTCCTCGCGCGTATATATTTTCGACGAACGGATCCAAAATCCTACACCTCGTCTCGAGTTGCAATTACACCTTTTACACAAATAATTCACCAACCGCGAACCAGACATTTTTCCCTGGTTCCCTCTCGACCATGAAAAATTGAAATGACGCGGGATGTTCCCCAGCTTGCACACACCGGCCTGGAGAAAATTCCTTTTTAGGTGGCGCGCCATTTGTTTTTCCGGTTGCTCAGCCCCGTTTCCTCGAACGAGATACACCGAACGAGACCCGTGGGTGCGGATACGGGGGCAGTTTAAAAATAGAAAGGCCAGGACGCGTTCTTGAGAGAAGACAGAACGTGTTCCGCGTTACCGGTAGGGTAACGTGACGAGGAAGCCAGTTGGGGTTGCAGACGAGGCTGTTGCTCCGCAGTAGGTGACGACAAGATTGTCGCCGCTTCCGGTGTAGCACGCGCCTCACCGGAAGTCTGTCGTGGTTTCTCCGCGCGAGGTATTTATACGAGGACGCTCGCTACGGTTTACTTTTTCGTCTAGCCCACTTCTACGTTACATGGTATTTCGAAACGAAACACCCGACCCAACGGCGAACCTAATGACGATTTTCTTGCTCGAGATATCGCGTTCGCGACCTGTAATTTCAATAACGCGATCCCTTTTTGTCGAAACTCGAACGAGAGATCAAAACGCGTAACGGCGTTGGTCGAAGAATAGTTTATAGTTGGATTTAGAGGCAAAGTGGAGCTTAAAGAGAAGAGAAAAATTCCCTGATCACCTGCTAACGCGAGAAGACTAACACCCAGCAGATCTCACAAAGGATGTATCTTAACAAACACGAAGATGGTACCCCATTGGGGGTAGCCACCCACGTGATAATCAATCGGATAAAAAATTCTACCAAATGTCCAAGTTGGACAAATTGTAAATGTGAAATTTTAAATTAAAAAAAAAAACTTGATAACGAGTTTACCATCGCTGGAAATCACAAAGGTTACGAGTAAGTTTACTAGAAATCTTAAAAACAGGTCAAGAATTTATGTCCTGCTATTTATTCATTAGGAAACGGGCATCGGTTATTAGATTAGAAATACAGCTATTCGGCGATCGACAGCAGATACAGCAAACATCGTTAAATATGGGAAAATACGAGCGGAAGAATTGTGACAGCGATAGGAGAAAATTTTGAGGGGCCATAAAACGCTTGAGAATGACTGGTCGTTTGAAAAATCGATTTATTCCTCATCGTCCTCTGTAAAGATCGAGAATCATCGTTATTGTTCAGGGCGGTTTTCGCAGAACCGAGTGTTCGAAGATCATCTATAACGATCTATGAGTCATCTATGAGTCGATGTGTATCTTGAGCAAACGTTAGCCTAACGAAATCCGAAACACAGAAACGAGAAAGATAGAAAAGGAAAAGATATCTTTGAAAAAGCAATAGCCAGCAACTATGTTAGGTCTTCTTACCTGACCGTTTCGAGGAAACGTGGAAAATGACGCGCCACTGCGTTTTCATCCCACTAATGGCTCTTTTCTTTTCCCAGACCTTCGAAAATACTTTAAGACAGCCGACTTTTAAGACCTGCACGGGACCTCCGTCACGTGAAAAAAATGCTCCTTTTATATTTCTGTGCCACCGCCAGCGTTCTCTTAATACGCCACCTCACCACGACAAAGGGAATCCTTCGAATTGCAAATAAACTCGCCATCGATCGTACCTGGACGCGTGATCGTTATTTCCCGAGCGTTAGCGGACCTAACGTTGGAAAAACACGTACGACCGAGCTTAGTTCGTTGCTTTCCAGCGTCATTCTACGAGACAAGCAAAACAAAGACGATGAAATTCTAGTGGGAAATTCTCTGGACAAATTTTCCGAATTCTCGATCGGTTATCTTGAAACGTGTAAACCAGCTCGCCTAATGTTCACGCGGCGAAACAGTTTATTTTAATGAAAGATCTACGTGATTATCGACAGGGTTGGATATTTTGTCGTTTTAATTGTATTCTTATCGTACGACAGAAATATTAAAAATGTATAATATACGCGGCGTACCTAACTGATATCAATATTCTATATACATAACGTCGGAGTACAAATCAATTATCACACATTCGCGCTACATTACTTGCGAAGAATTAAATACACGTATTTAAGTTACGAAATTTATTGAGCATTTTTTTAAGTTTATCGTGTCTCTTTCATCGTCCAATTGAATTTACCAGGAATAATAATATATATAATAATATATAAAATATTTAGCAAAATAATCTACAATTATCCATAGCTTGATATCGAACTAACAACGAACAATTAGTTACAGTCCTCGCTATCTATACATACTTCTCTATTTCTATTAAAATAATCGTATTGTAAACGCGCCACGTGTCCTACGAGCCATCAGGCGTTTCCCGACAGGGATGCAACTGTCGAGGAAAGGTGCATTCCCGACAGAGCATGATCCCTGACGAGTGTCACATACTGGCTGCACTATTTTTAGGCACGATCTAGACGACTATGGAACATCTTGCTCGTAACACGTGCCGGCATCGGTGTTTTTCCGTGGGCCGATCGAAGCATAGCATAGGGGAAGACAGGAACGAGGAAGAAGAGGGTTGTAGGAAAGAAGATTCAAGACTCGTGACCAGGGGCAAGCGACACGCGCGCTTTTTCTCTACACGTATTTTTGGACTAGCTTCCTCGAGCAGGGACAAATATCGAAAGGGACACGCGCCCCTTTTCCTTTTCGGTAGATCGGGGAAAGAGGACGATGCCAGTTGCGTCGACTAGTTCCCGATTTTTTCCTGCCATATGCGAGGAGGAAATACGCGAAGGCTTAACAGACAACGAAACGGATATTTCCTTTTTCTTTCTTTACCATTTATCTGCTTCGCTTTTTTTTCTTTTCTCTGGAATGACAGGATACAGCTTACGTTCGGGGGAATCTCCTTTCTTTCTTTCTTTTTTTTTTTTTACAGTAAAATAAATTCTATCCCATACAGTTCTATTCTATACGTTGTCGAGAAATACATCAAATTGAATACAAAAAAAAACGTTGATTTACGCCTACCATAAAAAATGTGCTAAAATTTTAACGAAGAAACATGGAGAGTTACGTAAGTTTCATAATTGGGAATGTTCGATAAAAATGGACAAGCCGAGAATGTATCTATTTTTCTGGTGGCGAGAACGAGACAACGATGGCTTCAATAACAATGACTCTTCTAGTTACGCGTTTTCTCTCTCTCTTTCTCGATAAGAATGCAACGAAGCCAATTGTTGCCGTAAAGCGAAAGGGGTTCGAATACTTGTTGTTCCGTGAACGTGGTTTTCACGCGGATCTTGGTGGCGTTTCTATGAATCCGTGCCACTGTTACCGGAGGGTGTCTTCTCATTATTGGCCCGATACGATCGATACCCGAGATCGATCCATCCGTCGTCGCATAACTAGTGTCACGTAAAATTTATGATAAAAAAAGAGTAACTGAGCGATAACTTAACTTGACGGTGCCTTTATAATTTTGTTGGCTTTTATTCACGAAAATGATTAAGTATAATATTACAATGAAGTAGCGAAGTTAAAATAGTTGTTCAAATCAGGGCTAAACTGTACACAAGACTCAAGGCTAAAGGCTAAAGACTAAAGACTAAAGACTAAAGACTAAAGACTAAAGACTTCTCTCGTGGTCGAATGCTTGCAATTTTTACATGTCACGTTTGTAGGTGTTGAGGTACAAAGGGCGGATCCTAATTGCCCTACGTAATGGGGAAAGTGTAATATTGGACCATGTGCAAAGGTCAAGTCAGAACCTAACGGTTCGTTGTCAGATAGTACGGATGACGTGGATTTGGGTATAGTCACACTAGCTTCGTCTTCACGGAACTGCCGAGGGAAAAGTAACTATATGTCGGAGTCAGGTTGGAATTTTGGGGCCTTCGACGAACCTTTACTTACTTTACCGTCACGGATGTAGCTAATGTTTATCGGTACAAATGTGGACACCACAAGAGGCTATGAGTAATAGCGGCGATAGGATGGTCGAGATGATGGTGACAACGATTTCAAGTTCGATAACGAATCCACGGTCCACGGGATGACCGGTATCAACGTAATACACGATTCGGGTAATTTTCTCGATAACTCAATCGGCAATTCGTCCAACCACTCACTAACCAAGTAACTAACTCTAACTCTCACTCTAACTCTCTCAATCCGAAAGAGGCTGCCCTTATATACTCCTGTCCCTGCTTCTTGGGTTAATCTTTGTTTCAAGGAGAGCCATATAATCATTTCATACCTCTGTCAGGTACATGTCCCTTCCGTGACCGTGGCTACGTTTAGTATGAGTACCGCTATGTCACTTAGAGCCCGAACCCATGGTCATAAAGCCATATTGGAACATTAGAACTATTTCTTATTGTTATTACTTAAGTGCAGCTATAGTAAAAGTCTGGACTAGGGTATTGGGTTTTTCCCAACATTCCGGATGGGAAATCCCGATGTTCTTTCATCTCTGGCATATATAACGATCACGAACACGTTTCTAATTATCAATCGCGGACGAAGAGTTATTTCAATTAGCAGATAATAATTGTACGAGTTGCACGACGATCAATGAATTCGAGAATCGTGCATCGTGTTTCGGTTTAATTTTGACCCGAAGACGAATTTGTCGTATCTCAGTTTTGTTTTCGTTTTAATTAAGAGAAGTATTTTTAACGTTTTAAGAATATCTATAGCGCAACATTGAAGGGAGAAATCATTTATATTAATAACGAGTGCCATAATAAGAAGATAAAACTGATTAAAAGTTCGGTACTTTTTCAAAATGCGTTGTAATTAATTCATAGCCAATTAATATTCGCGAGACGTAAAACGAAGTTTTGCACCTCCGAATACGAAACTTATGCTTCTCTCTCTTTTCCGATAAATACCGACAGTCCATCGATTTACGCGGTCGGAAAATATAATCTTCGATAATCTTTGTCTGAATCAATCGTGTTGTCGACGATAACGAGATTCCCAGCGAGCGCTTTTAACCCGAAACGTTTAGGATAAAAGCGAAACAGAACTTTGAAAATAAGTTAAACGACGAATATGGTAACTTTGAGTCAATTAAGGAAAAAATTGATTGCCTGGAAATATGGATACGGACAAAGACGATGAATAGAATTTGTTTCAGCTTTTGTACGATTCTATGTATCCAATTTATTTGCGAACCTATATGATATAAATACTTTTGTAACTTCGATTTCCTCTACAGTATTTTCTCTCTTTTTCTTGTATTAGCCGATTTCCTCTAGGTACGCGATTTTTATCCGCGTAAAAAGGATTATGTATATGGAACGAACAGCACGTAAATCCAGAGTGTACAATTAAATATCGAAGCTGCCTGCCATCGATTCTTTCTTTTTCACATTTAAAAGATTATGAAACGGTAAAAAGAAATACAATTGACTAGTTGGAAAATGCGTGAGAGGAACGCAGGAATGTTACCACGTTCCTAGAATCCTCTAAAAATATCGGCGCCAAAGACCTAAATCACGTGGGCCGGATAGGAACCAAAAGAAGAATCAGCTTTTCAAACACAGTGTTGGCCAGTCTTAATATCGGCTACGATCGACAATGGACCTTCGTCCCTTCGAAGAAACGATCGACGAGATGAACGAAAACGAACGTGGCTCGAAAGAAGACGAAAATTCCAGGGGTAAATAATCGGTGACGCTTAATTCTGAAGGAACGCAGTGGGATATTTTTGGCGGGATCTCGTGTCCTGGATAGAAGGCGCAAGGATGCAGTAGGCGGAGAAAAAGAAGATAAGACCCAGCGCGTGATTAATGGACTGGGGCTGCGTGGCAAAGAGAAAAATGCCAGAGGGTGGGGACAAGATCGAGCTTCTTGTTCGCGTTTCGTCGGCTAAAACCGGCGGCACGAAGGGCGGTTGCGTCAACGTGGGAGGAAACGATGGAAGAACCGATCATGGAACTCGCTGGGAAACGGGATACGAGAGGGGAGGGAAAAGCGAGCACGTGCTCGGATCGTGGGCCTCACGAAGTACGCGCGAAGCAATCCGAAAACGAACGAGCCCCGTTTTGTACGCGATCCCCTATCCCCTCTCCTACTCGCTCCCTCGTTGGGCCTTGCAGTCGAGTGGTGGGGAGATTACTACCCTTCCTGTCCTCCCTACCACTGGAAAAGTTCGACAAATGGGGAATGTGCATTTCCCGCGATCAACTAACCGACGAAACACTCAGTGTCACCCACGCTCTTCAATGGAAAGGTGTTGCTGCTGTTGCCGAGTTTTCTTCATTTCTGACGACTATGAAACAGCCGAAGTATTTTCTCGTCATGCAGTGTCTTTCGGGTGTGTGATAGTGTTGTGTGTAAATCGCGCGTCGTCCTGGATTCCACATTTCATCTTTCTGTTTCGTCCTCTTCCGCCTGGATTACATCGCATTTACTTTCAAAGTTTTTTCAATTTTTAGTAGTCTAATATTTAACGGAAAATCGAGGTTTAGGAGTCGAGAGATTTCCAAACCGTAGCGTCGTTCATAAAATTCGAAGATAATTCGGTCTTAACAGTTTCCTATTATTTTTCCCTGTATCTTTAAACGTGGAAGGGGCTTGGAGAAATTTTAACGCGTCGAGAGTGCAACTGAAATCGATCTGTGATAATGACGTCGCAGGAAGCCAAGTATTTGACGATGCTGACTAATACGTAAAACAAACATGATGGTATGTACGTTCTCTCCTTCTCTATTTATTTTTTATATCTTTCTAGAATGTTTGAAATTGTACATTGAATATCCTTAGAATATGCCTGTATTCAAAATTTGAAACATACAATATATATTTCCGTAAACATTCCATCAAACGCTACTTCCAAGATACTCGGTCGACGTAATTTGTACTTGTTGTACGTGACCAGTCGAGCTAATCCGATGATCCTTCGACTAATAAACAAACGGGACATTTCCATTCTTCAAAAGCATATTGTTAATGGGAAGGTGCGAAGCTTTTCCTGATCAACAATAACGCTGATATGTGCCAGGCCTTTCTTTTTCGTTCAGGTATTTCTACGAAAATGCCTATTGGGGTAATAAAAACGGCCAAGGTCGAGAAAACGCCGAAGAATGGTCCCTTGCCTTTCCCTCCAGTTTTTCTCGCTTTCGATGCACGAATGGCTGACGGTTAGCGGCCGATCGTGAGTTGCAAAGAAACGATCGAATTCCTTCATAGAAAACGCCGGCAGTTCTTTCCTCGTCCAAAGAATCGATGGATCACAGCGCAGGTCTTCTCCCTTTTCTTTCCTACGTGTTTTTCTTCTTTCTATTTCGATAGGAATTTTTATTCCTCCCCGGGAGAAATAACGTTAGATTCGTAGAAATCCCATTCACTATTCCTGAATATTCCGTGATTAATTATTTGAGGGAAATCTAACGAATATCGCCGATTCGATCGTATCGGCGCCGATTAAAATAAATTTGCATTTGTCTGCTCAGCCTGTTCATCGTTGAATTCTTTTCAATAGGATGACGGAGGATCACGTTTGTTTCACAAACAAATTACTTCTGCCGTTTTACAAAAACGATTATACTAACGACTGTATTACATTGTCGCTATTTGAGTCGCTTATCCGCCACATAGGTCGACTCCGCGAAACAAAAAGTAGACAAAAATTGATAAAATTATGTACGATAAGCGATCGCACGAATGCTTTGACATTTGAAAAAGCATAGTTACCCACTTTAATCTGCAATCGATTCGTGTTAATCGTAATCAACTTACGATCCAGAATTCGATCTGGACGGTGGTCGTTGTAGAGTGTTTTTTAAACAAACTGAAAATAGATGAATATAGGAAAAGCAATATATAAAAGCAAAAAGAATAAAATTTAAGCGATGAAAAATTATTTCTGATTTCAGATGCGCAAATCGGGCTGGACCTGATGGAGCACATACCGCACGTGGTGATGATCTGCCACGAGACACCCCATCTATTCGACAATATTTTTCACAATCATCTCCTCGACATCATTATCAGATACTTACAAGATCAAGACAACCAGGTGAATATTTTGATCACGTTTCTCTACGCGGTTGATCGTCAAAGCTTTCTTCCATCGATAAGCATCTTTTCTTTTTATGATTTACATCGATTTAGAAATACTTTTCGATAATCGCTTCCTTCTCTTTCGAAACCTAGCGGAAATCGTGTTCTTTCCGCAGGCGGCAAAGAATTTAATGCCTCGTTAACGAATTCTAATTTTCGTTTTTTTTTCTTTTTTTTTTTATTGCCTCAGGTACGAATGATGGCCCAGACAGCGGTGTTGACGCTAACGAAGAAGGGTCTCATCGATAACACCACGATAGAGGGCAAGCTGTGTCCCGTTATAGAAACCCTCTGTACGTCCATCGATTTGCTTAACTCTGGCATCTCCGTAAGTTTCTATGTTTTTTTTTTTTTTCATTTCTTTCTTTCCCTTTTTTTCTTTTAAATCTTAAATTTGTTGCCGTAACCTACACCACCTAATGTGGTTACATCCATGGTACGTTATATCCATTGATATTTTTTAAGAAATATATTATGAAGGACAATAGTGATCGCCGACGTCCTCTTCGATTAAAATGTCCCACCTATCGTTTCGAAATAATCCGGCAAACTGCGGTTTTATTTTTCTTTCGTGTCTTTTAAAATAGTTAATTATATATACGATTATATTAGTATTAGAGTATTAGAGTAGTATTAGAGTATATTATATATACGATTTCAAACACTTCGACGTGCGTGGAAAAATGAAAACGCTAGATCGGACATTTTCGACAAACCATTCGTACGATCAAATTAGAAAACTCTAACAAAAATCGTAATCTCTCGTCTCGTCGCAATGTTCATAGCCCGCGATTATTGCGTGTTCGAGGTGGAATCGCGCGTTGAGAAAACGAGTGGAATGAAACCTACGCAGAATCATTGTGCAGTTCTTTCTCTACCCCGCTGTTTCTTCCACGTTCTATTTTAACATTCTATCAGGCACCGGTGTAGTTTAACGAGTTTTCTCATTTTAATGCGTTCAAACGAAGCGTAGCACGATCGTCGACGTCGTTTAATTAAAGAATACGTATGTAAAGAATTACTCAAGGGTAAACGTGTGTCCATTGAAAGTACGGCAGCGTGGTGAAAAACAAGGCAAGACGGGTTTCTCGCGTCTAGCATTCTTGATCCATTCGGCTCGACCACGCTTCCATCGTATGCAAGCAAGTGTATCGCCGACTATCCGGAGCAATAGGTGTATCGAGTTTGTGTCGTGTTTATGGTCGTTGGACCTTACGCCGCCCTCGTTCCAACGGATTCCGCCTGAAAGACATGGGTAGTGAGATGTTCTCACGCTATCGCGTCTCACTATCTTGTCTTTCATCCGGCGTTCGTTCTACTACGACGTTCGCCAACGACCAAACGAGACCTGATCTATACGTCCGAGGGAAATTGGGATTTTTAACGCTTTTCATTTCGTACTGAGCGTTTATCGATTCTGTCAGAGAGATCCCTAACGCTTTAGTAGACACCGTATGTCATTGCAGAGGCCTTCTCCATAGAAGATGCTTTTCGATATCATCTCCTTTATACACGTGATTTCATTACTCGAGTAGGTACGCGATTAATTGTAAACAGGAAACGACTTGCTTCTATAAGTTCGTCATTTATCGCGGAATGACAGGAATAACGATCGATTTTAAAGTAGGAATCAGTGAAGAGTTAGCGAGCTCTTTTCAGGTGATATCGACGAGAAACAGAAGAGTTTACGAGAACAAGCTGGCACCTCTTCGACGAGGACATGCTTTTACCATCAAAGTTGGTTTGTCATAGAGTTCGACTATCACAGCCAGCTTTGATGAGCAAAATTGTGTCCGTCCACGACGCACGATTCGACGGAGAAAATCGGAAAAGGAAAGGGCGAGGGGAAAGCCAAAAAAAGGGCGGAGAAACGGAAGAGAAACGTAGAAATAATTAGCAGAGAGAACGAGAGAAAACGGAAAACTGAACGCGTCGTTTGTATCTCTCGCGGAATTGAGGGACGACGAAAACGAACGATCCGCGAGAGAGGAACACACGTACGAAGAGAGAGAGAAAGAGAGAGGGAGTGAGAAAATCGACATGAAGAGAGAAAGAGAGACGGTGGAACACGAACGTTGTACCCGAGCACAGCCACCGAAATGAAAATACCTTTTGCGGTCCGATACATCAAATTGGTTGTGGAATGTTTCGAGTCATATCACAGCCATTTTGTTGAGTTTGGCCCGCAGAATCGATCGTCAGGGAGCATATTCGTGTGCGCTGTACGAGTGCACTTGGTGCCCCCGCTTAATTAATAATCACCCACGTCGTCGATGGACACCTAAAGGTATAGCGAATGAACGACGTGTGTGCGTAACTTTTACGATCTTCTAATTTTTACCCTCATTTTTCCGTCTCACGTTGCATACACTCGCTCCTCTAGTACTGTTCTGGATTACGATCGAGACCGCAGCTTCTTTCACCGTACGATCGTCACGAGAAGACGAAGAACGAGGCGAAGTGACCGCAGAAGGGGCAAAACTACAGAAAAGGAGAACAACGCGATCCAATCGTCAAATTGGTTGTGGCGTGTTGCTTTTGGAAATGTCATATCACAGCCATTTTTGACGATTTGGATCGCCGTTTCGTGCAACGTGTCGTGTCTTCTATTCGATGCAGCGTCCTATCAAACCGTATTGAACGTAACGGTGCTAGGAAATTATAGATATATAAAAATACTACACACACAGGACATATAGAAGCTTGTTTCTCGCAGCTTTTAGGATTTTAGGAAGGTTCGCAGGATAGAAATGACGCGGACGCGTCGCTCACAAAGTGGTTGTGATATGCTGATGCAAGCGTTCATATCACAGCCAGCTTTGATGAGCGCGGCGACGCGTTTCATCGACTGTTTTTTTGATGTTCAATATGATTGGAAATGTAAGATCGTCCGTTAGTCAACAACTTCTAGCGTGGATCTCGGTATCGATTTTCCTTTATCGTATCGAGGTAAAACTTGGTTTTCTGTAAAAGCAAGGGAAACGTCGTCTCACCTTTACGCTCGCAGAGAGATCCATTCTCGATCATCCTTGAAGCATCTTCTATGGGTGGCGTGGCCGTTTTCCCGCGAAATACAGCGTTCCATCGAGAGCCATTTTAAAGAAAAACATTTCCGATCGCCTGTCCCGATACGGAGATCGACTCCTCGCGCGTAGTTTCCACTTTCGGCAAAGGCTTTGCACTCTTTCATAGTCGACTTCCTCTCATGGGTTCACAGGATTCATGAAGGACGTGATCGCGTTTATTGAACGACGATTTCCAGATGACTTCCTTATTCGTGATCCACGATGATTGCCGTACACTACGTTTACCTTCGATTCTTTTCTTTTACCGCTTTTTAACTAAATGTAAATAATATAATTATATACATATATATACAGTGCCTACAGAAAAGGACTTTGTGCACAGACTTATCATTCGTTGAAACGTTTTGTTTCTTTTAGCAGATTACACATTTCATTTTCATAAAATGTTACTAAATGTAGAAATTATAAAATTGTATAAAAGTTAATATACTTGATCGATCGCTTTATAAATACAGTACTAAATTCAGTTATGTGCAAATACTTTTCGTAGCCACTGTGGTGTATAGAAAGTGGTAAAAATTGAATAGACAGAATGACAATGAACAATGATAAAGATTTAACGATACGTACGATCCAAGGATTTGATGTACTGCTAGAAAGATACTTGATAATCTTAATCTATGAGGCTAACGCTTAACAGAAAAGAAAAGTAAAGTAGGACAAAACGCAATGCGCGTACGCGGTCACGATCGTCGAACGACGATAGGATGATTCACCTCTTTCTAATTCGTTTGATCGTTGCACAATGACCTTCTGATTCGTGCAGATGCGGGCGCCAAAGGAGGTACTCGAGCATCGTCGCGAAACGATCGATCTTCCGCGGTTGTCTCGGACACGTTTGATCCTCTAGCTACCGGCCAGCATCTACCACGCTATTGATGTATGTATCGTACCTGTTGTTTTGTTTTCCAGGTATTTAAGAGGCGCGAGTTCGACTGTTCCTCCTATCAGAGTGGTTGTGATGTGGTGACTTGGACTCGTATCACAGCCAGCTTTGATGAGCGGAACGGTGCGGTTTATAACTCCGTTCACTGCGATCTTAAACCACGCAGACGATGTCGCAAACACGTTTTCCTTTATTTTATGTTTCTTTTGAATTAATTAATCGTATACACACGGAAGCAACTGTAAAAAACGTGTGCGTATTTGTACATTGTTTCCTTTGATTTTCTTTGTTACCGACTTGTTTTCTATCGGATCACGTTTGCTTTGCCATCGAAAATCCGAAAATTCACCAGATATATATCGTATTTGTATATTATTATCGCAGCTCATGTGCAAGATGGCACCGCTCATTGGCAAAGAGCTGACAGAAAAGATCTTTCTGGACAGATACATCGCCCTCTGCGAAGACAAGGAATTCTATACGAGGAAATTCTGCGCGTCGCACCTTGGGGAACTTTGCGCCGCTGTCGGCAGGAAAACTCTTTTTCGGAAATTGGTGAGTCTCTTCACGCGAACCTCTCCCTCCATGTAGAAACTAACAAACGCTTGACATTTTACTTTTTAAATTCATTTGCAATTTCATTCGATCGAAAAGAATGCATGGCATGGCGATTCCCCCTAAAAAAGAGACTTATAATTTCTTCGATGAAATTGAAATTTTCTAAAATCTCAGGCTGTTGAGCATACGAAAAAATAAGAATTGTTCGTTCTTTTAATTTCTTCTTTCTCCCGCAGTTTCCAATATTCGTCGATCTGTGCAGCGATAAAGTGTGGGGTGTCCGGAAAGCGTGTGTAGACGTTATGATGCCAGTCTCATGCTGCATGACCCTTCAGCATCGTCGATTACTATTGGCAGAGCTTCTGGCCACGCATCTTAACGACGAGTCGAAATGGGTGCGAATGTCTGCCTTTCAAATTTTAGGACCATTCATATCCACGTTCGCGAAACAGTTTACCGAAGTAACTTATAATCAACACGGCGAGCTAGTGTTTACCAGCCAACAAGATAATCGTTTCAGGTATAAAAAGCTGAAAGTTTTTACCTTCTACTTGGTCGACTCTGTTCACAGACTCGCGTTGTAATATCCGTTTTATTTGTTCCCCTCTGTTCTTCTTATTCTGTGCTCTCGTTGCTTCCTTTTATTTTCTCGTCGACTCTCCCGCTTCGTTTATCACGCTCGCATTTCCCTTACGAACATAGAAAAAAGAAATAACGCGGATCAACGACGTGTTTTTACAGTATAAGGTACTCGTACGAGGGAATATTTCCTACTAAGTGCGCGATACGGAGTCACACGCTCGACATGGAGGACCATAATTCTAAGGATAACTTCAATTCGTCTGTGATAATACAAAAACCAATTTTAGAGGACGACGAGGACGAGTCGCAGGAGGATATCTCCACAATGAGAGCTTATAAGTCGAAGGTACGACACGTCCGTAAGTAACGAAACGACGCGGTTCGCGAGCTCATTTGCCTTTCAATTTCCTTGAAAATAGCCATTAACGTGATTCGATTTCGCTCTCCAGTTACAATGGTAACGAGTCATAAACGGGATTGTGCATTCTTAAAACGTGCTTCAGATAGTCGCCCCTTGTTCGTTTTACCTTCTACTTGGTCGACTCTGTTCACAGACTCGCGTTGTAATATCCGTTTTATTTGTTCCCCTCTGTTCTTCTTATTCTGTGCTCTCGTTGCTTCCTTTTATTTTCTCGTCGACTCTCCCGCTTCGTTTATCACGCTCGCATTTCCCTTACGAACATAGAAAAAAGAAATAACGCGGATCAACGACGTGTTTTTACAGTATAAGGTACTCGTACGAGGGAATATTTCCTACTAAGTGCGCGATACGGAGTCACACGCTCGACATGGAGGACCATAATTCTAAGGATAACTTCAATTCGTCTGTGATAATACAAAAACCAATTTTAGAGGACGACGAGGACGAGTCGCAGGAGGATATCTCCACAATGAGAGCTTATAAGTCGAAGGTACGACACGTCCGTAAGTAACGAAACGACGCGGTTCGCGAGCTCATTTGCCTTTCAATTTCCTTGAAAATAGCCATTAACGTGATTCGATTTCGCTCTCCAGTTACAATGGTAACGAGTCATAAACGGGATTGTGCATTCTTAAAACGTGCTTCAGATAGTCGCCCCTTGTTCGTTCGACTGTGAAATACAACCAGTACAATTTTTTTTTTTTTTTTTTTTTTTAAGACACACATAAAAAATGATCTCGTGAAATTTCTTTCAGATACAAAGGAAACAGTTAAAGAACGACCAAACGCTGGACCACACGGAAAACTTTAATTCGTTTCTATACTACTACGTAGAGCCAGACCTTCCACTGGACGACGAGCTCGTCGAAGCTGCCAGAAGATCCGCGGCGCAGAACAATGTAGACCGGAAGCCGTTGATCAGCACTACAGCGTCCAGTAAAGCGTCGTCGTTAGACGCTGCTCTAAAAGAAGACAAATACGCGGCAGACGATATCAAGAATTTCAACGATCAAGAGATCGTTCCTCAGCACCTGATCGATTCGTTCTTGTCGATGGCTGAGCCAGAACAATGTTCCGGAGACATGAGCCCCGGAGATATTCCTCATCATTGCGCATTTAGTTTTCCCGCTGTTGTACTCACGTTAGGAAGGGAAAATTGGCCATACCTGAAGCAAGCTTATCAGTCTTTGGCAAGCGCTAATCAATGGAAAGTGAGGCGCACGTTAGCCTCCAGTATTCACGAAATCGCCATAATTCTAGGAGAAGAACTCACTATCACTGATCTCGTACCGATCTATGATGGATTTATCAAAGATCTGGATGAGGTCAGAATAGGTATACTCAAGCATTTGGCGACGTTTTTGAAGATACTCAAGCCTGCCGTTCGGCTCCAGTATTTACCAAAACTGAGGGAATTCCTCACCACCGATAACGAGTGGAACTGGAGATTTCGAGAGGAACTAGCCACTCAGTTGTTGGACATTGTGAATCTGTTTGATCCTGTAGACGTTACCCGGTTTATCGTGGAACTAGCTATCGATCTACTACGCGACAAATACGCTGCTGTGAGACACGTTGCTCTCTCTTTGGTACGATTTTATATACTTTCTATATACTATGTAAATTGTCTAGCCTAACGCTACTCAATAATATTTGTCTTATGTCTTTGCTTTGTCGTATCTGTACAGGTGACACAAATAGTAGCACATCTTTCTAACGACAGACGCCTTGAAAAAGGGCTATTTCGAAAGCTCAAGTGTCTCGTTTTCACAAGGAATTGGGTTAGAAGACAGATGTTTGCCTTCGTGTGCGCCAACCTGATTTCGAAAAACGCCATTAGCGGGTATAAATTTTCGCAAGAAATGTTACCTACTTTGTTGCAAATATCTTCCGACAAAGTACCAAACGTGAGACTAGTTGTGGCGAGGACTTTGTCAAAGAACGTTATTCCTATGGGATGTAAGTATTTATTTGTAATCTTCTTCAGATAATTGCGTTACGAGAGAACTTCGAATTCATGTTCAATAAACGGGTGTTTCGATTTTTAGCAGAATGGTTGGGAGTGAAGCAGGCGGAAGAAGTAGAGAATAGGCTGAGAGAAATGAGATTAGATCCGGATAGGGACGTTCGAGTTATAGCCGGCGGCGAGGAAAACGTCCCATCAGATATGTTGTTGCCACCGAAAACTAAACAGCCGTGGGACATATTTTAACGAACTCAGATTTCGTGAGAATCAAGTTGTAATTATTTCCTGCCATACGAATCAATTTTATACCGGACTGCCAAGAAAGGAAATGGGATAAAAGAAATTTCGTACGAATGTTCTTCCATACGTGAATTATCTTTGTAAATGTAAGAAGAAAATTAATTGGATGGAAGAGATAAGAATTTCGTTATACCGATAGAGAATACGAGATGCAAGGGTTTCTTTAAAGAATAAGTTGGTGTATCTATGATGTAAAAATGAGCTCAAGTTTTAAACAAAGAAACAAGACTTGTACCGTTTAGTGCAGTCAACATAGAAAAAAAGTGCAACTTAGCGTTGTCGTTACGACCAAGGGACCGACAATTTCCGCGCCCCTTTAGACTAAGACAGATTATAAGTATCAATGGTCAAAAGACATTACGCAGTTATATAAGAGTGTGTGTGCATGTTTAAAAGGAAGTGAACGTACACTGCCGCTGAGTGCTAGGACACTTGTTTAATTGTAAGAAATATCTGTAAAAAGTTATGAAATCATTACTGAATTTTACTAAATTTTATGTATTCCATTTTGTACCGTATTAGAGAATATATTTTAACAAAAATTTATTAAATTTTTCATCAATCATAATAAAAATATGATTGTTATCTATCCATCTATCCACCAAGTGCTTTTGTAACTGCATCTACAAGCTTAGTAGCTTGGCTACTAATATTTTTTATTGTTTCAGGCCTAATATTATTCCATTCCATTTCGAAATGTTCCTATAAATATTCTTCCAATCTGGGATATTTTATTCGGATTTTATCTGAATGATCTCATAATTTTTCTATGGGGTTCAAATCAGGAGATTGGTGACCATTCTATTATTTACGCATTAGAACTTTCCTGTAAGTGATTTTCACATATTTTAAAAAAATGTATACGATCCTTAACATGCACAAATATTCGATATACGAAAGGCACTAATGTGCAGGATCTTTTTTAAAATATAATTTGTTTTTAACGATTCTCCTGTTGTTTCCTATACGTACAATCTCTCCATTTGAATTCAACCATTTCAATTGTAGACTCATCAGAATCAATCTTGCGGTGTCGACTTTTCTGGTACTTAGTTTATGCCAATAGCGACTGGCATCTCTTCTTTATTATTAATGTTAGAAACACCATCTCTGAAATTATAACGGTTCATCGCTATGGAATTGTTTCCCTATCTGAAAATCGATACAAGTAGTTTAAGGTGCATATTTCTTCGCAGCGGCTACGACAGACAGAATGCTGTTAATTTCACCTGTAGTTCATTCTTATCAAGGTTCATATTCCTGAAGAAATTATTGTCACTATCATAAAGGAGCGGGTTACGTTTTATCCTTAATAATAATTTTTTCACTGCCATTGAAATTGTTTCATTCTTAATTGTATTTATTTCCTCAATCGTTTCGGAGGCTGTTACTTTTATTTCTCTTAAGCTTTCAATAAAGCTTTGTATATATGTTTTCTGGACCTCCCAGGTCTTTTTACAGACGGATAGTGTCCTATGCTGTTACCCGAAATTTTATCACGTTGGATAATGATTCTAAATATTTGTATAATATCTGAAGAATCTTTTTCACTATAAATGAAAGAGGAAAGTTTTAGAAACCGTCCACACGTAACATAATACAGCGTAGGCACACCGCATATACTTTTAATTATATAAGTTCCTTAAATAATATAGTTAAGTTCCTTAAATAATTAAATTTTTCAATTTTTAATACTCTTATATAAATAATACTCTACCACAGGTTCATTAAAAATGAACAAATGTCCTAATACATTCGCGTGGCAGTGTATGCGTGATTTAGTACTCGCGTGTATGTATGTGATTACCATTGTGATCAATTTGTATTTGTAAGCGGTCTCTTGGACAAACCGAATATTAATTATTAGAGATATCGAATAAAGGCGGGACCTCTTGTTCTTTAGTAAACAGTCATAGCACGTTTTCTTCAGCCTCGCAATCATTGTTATCGCCTTTTCTCCAATATTAATTTTCGCTTATCGAACTAAAAATTATTCCGAAATAATTCCTGCGATCAGAGGAATTTACTTTGTAATTTTATACCGGTTGGATGACTCAAGTTTTCGTGCTATGATTCGTAAACTCTATTCATTAGTAAATACTCTTACGTTGAAGAAATGGAATGTGAGAACTTCTAGACTGTCAAGAGCAAGAAGGAAAAAAAAGAGAAGAAATTTATATTAGATCCTCTGATTATCGCGAAGTGGTAAATCGTATTGGAGTTCATTCGATTCAAATTGCTTGTATTTTGTATATATCATTGAATCGTTTCGTGAAGATACGGTGTGTAACGAAAAAAGGAACGAGGTATGCAATGGATCGTTTACGAAGCTATTTGTGGTGAGGTTATGTGGAATATTCTGCACTCTATATTCGCAATCAAAGATAGCTCTACGATGCTACAACAAAATTATTCTGAACAATAATCTGCAAATTTTAGTCTATAAGACCGCGATGTGCGCCTCTAGACACGGTGGTGCCTGATTAGACGTGAAAAACTGTGCTTACGACCGTCCCGTGTTGCGTCAATTTCACGACTCATAACTTACCGATTTGGTGCAACCGGGATGACAGTTACTGTGATCTTTGCCTACGCGTGATCACGTAGGTGAATTTATATCATCTCATTGTAGATACGTAAATATTGTAAACACAGATTTTTGTTAACCCGTTCCACCTTTCCGACATACAATAAGGATCTTTGTTAACCCGTTCCTTCTCCCCAACTTAAATTAAGGGATTACGATTTACACGAAAAATGTTTCCAGAGCCTTACATTTAGAAACTTTTTAGCGATTTGTATATTAAATACCACGAAAAGGAAATCATGTTTATACGATTTACACGATAATACTAGGTTATAAGCAACAAAATATGAACGAGGAGAAATGAGTGGTTGTTGAATAAAGGATATGTACAATAGGAGGTTTAACGAGTGTAAAAAAGAGAATACGTGTGGACCGTAGACAAAAGAATACAATGTGATCCGATGAATTATGTGATTGTACATTTGCGAAACAACTGTTATGAAATGGTACCACTAGATATTTGTGAGTAACCCCAATATTTTATCCACCGCCGCTAATATTTTGTGATGTTTTAAATTAAAGAAAAAAGCAAAAGTGAAATATTGCGTCGTAATTGACTCTTTGTGAAAACATAATGATTGAGATACAGTAAAAAGAAAAACGATCTTCGCTTAAGCAACGAAAACTCGGTACTTGTGAATACGTATGAAGAAAAAGAAGTTTTGTTTAAGATATTCTATATAATATATTGTGTATTTGGTAATGAAACGGAAAAAATATACATCATGTGATTTGTTACACAACAGTGTTGATGTTGTTTGTTTCAATAATTTAACTAATGACATGACTAACGATTAAAGTTAATTAATTCAGTTCTTTATTTGAAAAAATCTTTCCCTTTATCTTTTTACATAAAACATGCTATATAAATTATATGTATTCGACATACAAAATTACTATGTAGTCATACATTAATATAGACAAAGTAATTCTTGAATTATTGTGCTTCGATTCGTAATGAAGTCGCTAAATATTAACAGTTATTAAAATATACCAAGGAATTTTCCTGGTGGACAAGCTGGCAATTGGCAAGCTTTCTCTTCCATCTCGGTTTCTGCAGTACTACAATCGCGTAAACAATATCGCCATCTTATTTGACGACCTTTACCGCAAGTAATACTACAGCTGCTCCAGTCTGTCCATTTCCCCCATTTACGACCCGATTTTGTTTCTTCTTCATTACGAATTGCCTTTGAAGTACTCGACGATGTTTTAACAACGTGTCTAGCCACTGATCTTCTTTTCTCTACCGAATGTTTTTTTGGGATCTTAACTTCTAATTTATGTTTCTTTGTCATTTCAACTGGATTCGCTTTTCTTTCAACGATTTTGGTCGTAGATCTGTCATAGTTTGCCGATACACATTTCTGGACAATTTCAGGTGCTTCTTTAAAAGCGCCACAACCACTGCTAACGTTTGAACATAAATCATCGATCGCACGTGTTTTTAATTTTGTCTCTTGTTTTTCGTTTCCTGCTGTTTCTTCAATGTTTAAGTAATTTTGTAATTCATTTACCTGAAAGGAAATTTGTTGTTAGTTTACAGAAATACACATGTTATGTTAGAATACTGTTTATTATAGATAATATATACCTTTGTTACTAATTTCTTTGCGAGTTCTTTAACTTCTTCAATCGATCTTACTGCTCGATTAGGACCCATTTTATCTATCATTGAAAGTTGATTTTCATCTTCGTCATCACAATGATCCACTACAGTTCCAGGCTCCTGTATATTTTTATAATACTTCAGTTCCTCTTCCTTATTTAAGAAACCATGATTCGATTCAGTATGTTTATTTCTCTTTGCGCGTAATTTAGAATCCTGTGGTGGCATTAATTTTTCAGTTTCTACGAATGGTTTTTGCTTCTCATTTTGTACGACGAATGCATTTGAACTTTTATCCGTTCCCGCCTTAGAATCACCAGCGCCACCCGCAGCTTTCGAGTCTCTTTGCACCAATGAAAGTACGGAAATATCGTCGTCGATTTTATTCTTACTTTTTGTCTCCAGTTTTGCATGCAACGTTGATGGAACATTTTTTGAGAGATGATCGTTTTCAGAATCAGTACTATCGATGGATTTTTTCGACTTTACGGATCTACGGCGAAAATTGTTGTCATTATTTTTCTTAGCCACTACATTGACAATTCCTACTTTTAAATTACCCTCGTTTTTCGTTTCATCCATTTTTCTCTTGCGAGACACTCTCGATCGACCCATATTTTTCGAACGAACGTCTTTTATTGACCACAGAGAATTTTTTGGAAAATCATGTTTTTTCCCTACGCGTTTCTTTTTCTGTTTTAATTTCTTTATTTTGTCTCCATTATTGTTCCTCGTTTTTCTCCTGAACCGTAACAGATCTACTCTAAGATCAGCGATATTTGAACTGGGTGGATTCGAATGTTCTTTAAATGTTTCTAATTCGGGAATTGATTGTTCTTTTTCATTAGACGATTTTTCTTTTTTAACTTGCTGATCAGATGAATTTTGCTCTTTTAAATTCTTTTTGTTATATATCTTTGAATAATCGTTTCGTTTTTTCCTAACAAGTTCTACCGTTGGTATAGGATCTGGTAAATTTTCATCTTCCGGATTTTCATATGATTTCCGGTTTATAATAACATCGCTCAATGGCTCTTGTAACGATACACTTTCCTTGCTTTTTGTTCGATCTATAAATTTTACATTGTTGTTCCCTAATGCATCTGTTCCACTAGCGGCAAACTGCGAACTAATAAAATTATTAACGTCGGATTTATCTTCACCAAAGTATGAAGGAACCGTGATTGCAGCATTCTCATCTGGAATTGCATTGAACTGTTTGTCATTTACAAAGTATTCCTGTGATTTAATTTCTCGTTTCCTATCGAACGACGCATCGTCATCGTACAAGTTTTCTTCTATTAACTCGTATGAATCTCGAGGAAAAGAGTTGGCCAAATCCTTTAAATAATCTTGTTGATATCTAAATGACGAAATGGAGTCTGATTCTGCTTTGCTTCTTTTTACTCGTACATGTGTTGTTAAAGAATCTGGATCATCGACATCATTCATGGGAACTGGTTCACCGTAATCTAATAATATCTTCCTTTTACCTGTCCCTTTGTTATTTTCAAGTAGACTTCCCGTAGAATATTTGTCATTATCAGGAATTGCACATAACGTTCTCCGTCTCCATTTATAATCGACTTGGTAGCTTTGGCACTTGTTATTCCTTTTTATAGATTTGGACAGTATGTTGTTGGACACTAAAGAAAGAATTATGTAATGATTAATTGTATCTAATTGTAACTAGTAACCATTCGGAATAAATTGCAATATTTTTCAATTTATTTCTCAATAATTTTGGCAATTTCTTTACATTGCTAATTGCATCTTTTGTGTTACTACTTTCAAATCAATTTATAAGAGATAATGAGTCGTATATACGCGTGGCATTTAATAAAACGCTGATGAAGTCATGCAGAACATGTGCGAAATTTAAAAAGAAATAATTCGAATTTTTTAATGACTCACAATCTTGGGAATAATTGTAATTATGATAGTGACGCGTGGATAAGTGGGTATTAACAGTATTATATCTCTCGGTTTTAATGACAGGAGCAATTAACAGAAGGATCGTAAGAATCCAAGCGACTGTGTAAGTTGCAAATTTCAGCATTACATACACTATCTCAGACTTTTTATGTTATGTTGCTCATTAAGAAAAAAGCATTCAGTTGTTGTTATTAAAGATTTGCTAAAATAGTTTTTGCTCCAGGTTTTTGGTTACTTCAAATTTCATTACTTTTGCGATTTTGCTAACATCGATTGAATTTCGATGGATCGAAAAATACATAATAAAATATCGATTTTTATTTCAACACTGAGAACAGAGCTTTAAGTATTTAATAGTTAGTATTACGGTATCAGTATCGGTTCATAAGATACGTGTGGTGTAAGTGTGTTGATATTAACTATTATTTCTCTAAAATAACATATGATTAATTCTGTATATATGTATTTTATGTATATATAAAATAATATAATGAAGTCATCAAGATTAGCACATATATTTTCATTTATCTTAATGGTAAGAAATGAAAGTATTGTTACTTAACCTATTAAATTTAAATTAGCATACACATACGTATTACATTTATGATATAAATTAAAAATGTTTTTGGATTGAATGGAGCTATAACATGCATCGTATTTTCATTATAAATATAATTTTTAGGTGAACATTGTGTCATCGGAATTTTCAGCTGATGATTGTAAAAGTTTAGGTTTCAATAAAGCTAATTTACTTTGTTCTACCTGTGAGGAATTTAATAAACATGGTTTAACAGAAATATTGTAAGTAAAAATAAATTTGTTTTGTTGTAATACAATATCTTATATTAACAATTAGATTAATGTTTGATAATCATAGGAGTAATTGCAAAGAATGTTGTTTGAAAGACGATGATTATGATGCATCTGGGTTAAAAAAATACCCACGTGCTGTCCTTGAAGTATGCACATGCAAGTTTGGTACATATCCACAAATACAAGGTAAATAGAAATTTATATTTAGAAATAAGTGTAACTGTTTACAACACACATTTATTCTGGTTTTTTATAGCTTTCATAAAAAGTGACCGACCTAGCAAATACAAAAATTTACAAATAAAATATGTTAGAGGCTTAGATCCAATAATTAAATTATTAGATGCGGATAATAAAGTTGAAGATATTTTAGACATACACAAATGGGATACTGATTCTGTTGATGAATTTTTAGCAACTCATCTTTCGATGGATTAATATTATCATTGATAATGGTATATATTTAAGTTTTATTATTAAGTGTAAATAATCATGTTTGTTATGTAATTTACGTTCAAAAAGTATTTTTAATTAGATCACTGCTCCTCCCTGTCTTAAGAATTCTTTAATTCTATGATATTAAAAAAATACTTTGTAACAACACTATATAAATGGTATTCATATTAAAAAGGTGCAAAATAAAACTTATTATTTTTTAGACCATTTATTGTTTTATATTTTCTACACACTAATACAGAAGAATCCAATGTTGGAATGAAAAGTTATTTAGATGATTTAAGAATAATGTTAGGTTTTTATTATATTCTAGTATAGATATAGGTTTTGCATGATACTTACATAAATAAACATGATTAATATAAAGAAATTATGAAAGTTATATATAACTTGTTGTTAAAGTATCATATGGTTATTAAAGCCATTCCTTTCATGGACGCAAATTTTATTACAAATTAAATTACTCTATAGGGACTACAAAGATGAGGTGTGTGTATTGTGTGGGAATTAGAAATATCGGTATTCCATAGGACAATTGTCGAATAGTATGCATCTTTTATATTAATTCTTTTTTACAACGCCTTATGTGTCATAAAAGACATAATCCTATAATAAAACTCCTACTATGTTATGATAAAGCAAATGAAAGTACGATTATTTTTCTTATTTATCAATGTAACCTTCGATTTACTACAGTTAAACATAAACCGGATAAAATTTTTATCAACATCTTAAATTTATTGCAAAGTATTTTTGGATTTTTTATTAGCATATACCTAGGAATGAATTTTCTATAATAGAGTTTCATATTACGATTGTTACTTAAAAATGATAAACATGTATTAATTAGTTGAATATTAATAGTATTTCTTAACACAGAATAGTTACAAGATAATCAATATCAATACGCAAAAGCATATCTGTTTATTTCTCCTCCATACTCCGAAAATGCATTATTTTCTTTAACAATCGTACATAGTACAGTTCTCTGTGAGTGATAATGTGTAATTAGAAAGCTTTGAATTAGCTTGGGCAAATCAATATTTATATTGGTATATTATGAATATATATAGTACATAATATATATATATCCATACATATAAAAAGATACAATTTATACATGTAAAACGATAATCAAACATTTGATTATAATGATTTCTTTCATTCTGTCAAAAGACGTAATAAACCAAATTATTTAAACATTGACGTCTTGAATATATCGAGTAAATAAATGAAACCTAACAGTAGATATATTAAGGGACGTAATTATGAAATATACTCAAGCTTACTCTAATTTACGATAGAGATCACTTTATCGTCGAGCCCTTCGTGCTCTAGGAGTACCGCGTCCACGAGGAAAACCTCGACCACGTGTTAGCTTCACTTGCGGATTTAGATCTCTATCTAACTTCTGAATGGATTTTTCATGATCAACCTGTTCTTTTTCATCTTCATTATCAATTAAATTACCTATTTCCGCCTCATTATCATTATCGATATCGGCCCATATTTTATCAACTGGTGTCTTCTTTTCTGGAGTATTAACAGTATTTTGCGAAGGCTGTTTGTCGCTTTTTTCCGCTTCGCGAGTTTCTTCTTCCTCAGATTCTGCATCAGCTTCAAGCGGATCATACTTTTCATCTCCGTCAGTTTTCTTTTGAGCATTTGCATTTTCAACATTGTTTTCTTGTGCTTCCTTCATTTCCACATTATTCTCGTCTTCAGAATGAACTATTTTACGACGTTTCCAACTCCCGTCATATTCCTTGTCATTTTCTTGAGCATCATCGTTAGTCTACACAGAAAAATTACTTATTATATTTTGTGATATATTACATTAAACCTTTTTACGTATTAAAATATACCTCAAGTTTTTCTGTTGATTTTTGTTCTGTAGTTTCCGTACTCGAAGTTAAAGCCTTTACTTCTTGTACGAAATTTCGGTAATGAGTAATACTACGTAAATGAGCATTCATATCTTCAGCTAACAGCATGAATCTTCTACATTTTTCACAATAAAATCCTTGAACTTCTTTCACCATAGATTTTCCTGAAACAACATGTGTATACTTAGATAAGTGAGTTTTAAAATATTAAGTAGATAAGTAAGTAAATAAGTGAGTGGATTAAAATATAATGAGAAATAAAATGTATAAACAGTGCAATTTACCAATGGAAACTTGATTTTGTCGACAATATTTATAAGATGGAATTTTGAATTTCTTTTCATTCAAATTCTCAACAATATCCGTAATATATTCCTGTTCTTCTATAGTAGTATCTTCCTCCTTTTCATTTTTATTGTCAGAACCAACGTCTTTTTCTTCATCTTCTGCAGTACGCACTTCAGATTCTCCTTTTGCAAGTTTTTCTATAAAAATGGAAAACAACATTACATAATCTTTATTGTGACAATAGTTTCTTTTAAATATCTTTTCGTATACCTTTCTTTTTATTTTTTCGTTGTTCTTCACACTGCACAGCTTTCTTCATGTGTCCCGGTGTTAAACAATGTTCATCATATTCAATGCGCGATGGAAATTCTTTCAAACATGGGAAACATCTTGGATGCAAAAATGTTTTTAGCTGTTGATGTTTCTCACTCTTTCTATGCGTTGATAATGTTCCGTAAAAATTCAAGTCACACATTGTGCAATATTCACGTACATTCAAATCTACAGACACCTAAGTAAAAAATAAAATACATATAAAACATTTTATAAGTTATTAAACTTTTACATTTGTATATATACTTACTTTCTTACCACGACGTTTCGAATTAGTCAGACTAAGTTCGCGTTGTTCTTCCGCTACTCTTAATTCGTGCCGCATGAGATCAACCTTTAATTTATATGATTCATCTAACTTTTCCATCATCAACTGATGTGCTCGCCCGCGTAAGTGATTTTCGAAAGACTATAAAAAAAATAAAAAGATGATAATACCAAAGTTGACCTCGATTAAATGTACAATATATAGTGAGTATTAAGTATATACATATCCATCCCACATATGTTTGTTACAAATGTGACAGAACATATGACTCATTGGAACCTCTGCATAACGACTTTCAGCGTGTCTTGCTTCTGATTTTTTGCCTGTCAATTTTGAATCCTTCTCCGTTGTAGATGTATTTGCTTCCCTCGATGGTGTTTCTTCCATTGCAGATTTGTCTGGCTTTTGTTCTTCATCATCTTGAGGCTTTTCTTCTGTTTCCTCAGTCTCTAAAACTTGAACATCTTCGGATTCCTTTTTAATATCCTTCCGATCAGCTTTCTTGTCATCAGATTCTTCATTCACTCCACTAGTATACAAACAAACAAAATTTTTATTATAATAACAAATGTTAATCAGATCTATATATTGTGCTTTTTTGCTTTGATATAAATATTATAATTTTTTAATATGTGTTATAGTAAAAACACATATATACACGAACTTCTCAATTTCGATAGCCAGAAAGTAATTGGGCATAATATTAAGTTAAAAGAAGATAACTCACACTTCTAACAACTGTATACAAATTTAATCAACCTATTATTATGAACAAATATTTGGATAATGTGTATTGAAAGAAGAACGCATGGGGAGCATTTTATATGATTATGAAATACTAACGTTATGAGATTATAGGTAATCTAATTTAAATTTGAAATGTGAGTTGAGTTTAATCAACAATGACGAATGAACATATAACATGATATGTAGACATATGTATATATAAATGCATATATACGTATGTATGTAGTACTTTTTTAAAAGTCAGACAAGAGAAAGGACACAATGCTAATTCTTTAGCAATCATACCATATGTACGTAACAAACACCGTACATACAGAGATAGGTGACAGAATGAGACTTACTGAAGTTTGAAGAAACTATTCACAATCACCAGGAGCTTACCTTGTTACAGCAGGTGCTTCTGTTTTTTCATTATCAGAGGTCTTAACGTCCTGCTGTTCCTTTTTGGCAGTCTGATTTTGTTTAGAGGCAGGAATTGGTTTAGAAGATTTATCGTTGTGATGTTGAGTTTGGTTTCCATTCATACGCTGATTGCCAGACTGGGGTGCACGAGATTGTTGTGCAGATGGACCACGTCGCCCAGCAGGGCCATCACGGGCGCGATTGCCCATCTAGTCATGTAGGTCAAATGACCAAACCGTCATGAGAAGTATCTGATATATTTGTGATTCTTCTCGAATCGAATTTGATTTTAGCAACCACTGGGATATTTGAGGGAGAAAAATATTCTACTCGATTCGGAAGCAGGACGTATTCAGTGTTTCAATGAACACCAAAGGTCAGTATTTCCACAGTTTAGTGGAAGGGAAAAGGAAAGTAGTAGCAAATCGTTGAAGATGCATACAATCGTCGCATCATCTAACTTTGTACAGGCAATGATCTTATTGATCATAAGATATGATATTTATAAAACACATACTTTTATCCTTTGAACATAGCTCAATAAAGCTCAATGAAACATAATCAACAAGAAGAAGAAGTTAAATCAGTGAACAATGCAGCTTGTAATCAATACTTTTGAATACTATTCTTCAGATACTGTTCTTTAGCTACAATGACGAATAGAAGACTTGGGCGGATTATAAAAGAACCAAGTTAGAGGAGAAATATATCTGCATGTCTATACTGAAATTTGTTACACAAAATCACAGTTAACTTCCACTACTAAAAATGAGAATACACATATTTTGAAATCAATACACGTCTCATTATCGTGTTTCTTAACGAAATAACATTGCGATGGTAATTTTCTCCTATGAAAATCGTGTTTGGCACAACTAGTCCAGCAGTAAGAATTGCTTATACTTAGTAACTGCACAGGGTAGCCACGTAGCATGTCATCCACTAACTGAAAGCCTCATTAATGAATCGATCAATGAATATAAAAAGGAGAATTTCAAACTTTCAAACTAAGGATTGGTGTTGTTGATGTATAAAAAAAAAAAGAAGTGTAGACTAGAAATTGCCCTTACAATTTTCATTCAAAACAATCTGCATATTAAATAGGAGATATGTATTCATACCTTGTTATATGGTTGTGGTCGTTGATTCTTCATAGGATGCCTAACAGGACGATCATTAAAACGCCCAGAAGAAAAGTTCTGCTGATTTGGAAAGTTAGGTCCTGGTCCGCTAAAGTTATTTCCAAGGCTGAGAAGTGATGGTACCTGCTGTAAATACAAAATGTCATATGTAACACATAATAGTATAACAAAAATGATAGATAATATACATAAAAATGAAGTCTCCTGACCTGTGGTTGTACTTCTTGCTGACTGCGAAGTAAGTTTGAAAGGAGATTGCTAGCTATTGCTAGTTGTGCTTGTGGCGATGCTAAAGATAAATTATTATTAGGTGTCGGTAAAATTCCTCTGCCAGGCATCATTCCTCCTTCCCAAGGATTCATTCCACCACTTCCACCGCTACCTCCGCCTCCACCACCTCCTCCACCCCCTCCCATTCCACCACTCATGTTGCCACCCATACCTCCACCGCTTCCTCCCATATTTCCAATCCTTCCTCCGCCACCTCCACCACCACCACCTCCTCGATTATTAAAGTTTCGATTCCCAAAGGAATCACGTTTTATTCCTCGATTGAAAGACATTGTATCTAAAAACAAGTGCATAATAAATACCTTATAATAACAGAAAATATTACTTTATTATTACAATATATGCACATACATACATATGTATTGTATCTATTCTTTAAATGCAATTCATTTATTTATGATAAGAATTATAGTAGTTTTATTTCTCAAACATGATAACATTGTAGTGGCACAAGAGTCAAAGGACGACGCGAATCGAGAGCGACATGTTGTTTTGCCTCGGGGCATTGACACAACCTAGACGCAGGAAACGTAATGATAATGTAATAATTAATGACAAATAAACTCCGGGCAAAACAAAGTAGCCGCTACATGCAGCCGTCGAATGAAGACGAATTTGAATTTTCCGACTCTCCCCCGACCAGTATAAATAAATGGACGCGATCGCGAGCGAGACAGTATCTAACAGTATCTACAGTATCACGAGTATCTACCGAGTTACACGACGAGCATTAACAAGTATTTATCCGCTATTTTATTTTGCGATTTATACCTTGTACTAACGACTCGCGTATACAGGCTGTACATTAATTTATTATTTTAAATATATTCGACGGTTTCAACAACGAGCAATCTTGTCCTTTAAACCTTACGTACTAACTATCCTCTACACATAAACCTCTACAACATAAATATTTAATAATAATTGTATTATCATACTGCATAATCTTAAGTTTCTATAGAGAGAGACAGAGAGAGACTACCCATTTTAATTTATAAATGGAGTCTGTAAGGACGTCTATTTCCGATATGAGAAGTTATATCGTTTGCAATAATTTATCTACCTACGGTTTTACATAAACAGTAAGAATTCATAATTATACATACGTGTATTAATTTTAGGTAAACGCAAAAGCAAACACGAAGTATATAATAGAAAAATGAATTACTTAAAATTTTTTCAATTGATGTTTTACACATCAAACGACGCCGTACAATGTGACTGCTAAATTTAAAAAACTTTCATTATCGTATCAAACTTCTATTCACTTCGAACTTAAATAATCTAAATTGTACCCAAAATTTTTAATAAACAATTTTTGTTGGAATTTGATTAGAAAAATAAGCAACTACTTACCACAAAAGTAGCAACTTCGACCACAGAACAAGAAAAGGAGGCAAAATGGAAAGCTCAAGGAAATGGAGTCATCAAGCGTCTACCATGAACTAGAACAGTAAAAGCGGCATTCAAAATGGTCGATGTCAAAAGCTACTGCTTGCTTCTGATTGGTTGACACTATAATCTAATAAATACACACAAAAAATTAAAAGTTTTATTTCCTTTCATTTATGTAATATGTGATATAAAGAAGAAAAAGATCTTTATATACTATGATATGAAAAATGTATCCCATTTTATATTTGATATTATGAAAATAAACTATAATAGTTAATTTCTATGTAACAACTGATTTTAAGCAGGTATAAATATTTTCCCTTTTTGTAAATTCAAATGTAAAATTGTTAAAGCAAATTAACTAATTTTTATGTATTTGAGTCGTGGAATTATATATATTTTATTTTTTCTTATTAAGTATTTTTATTCAAAACCAATATATGTTTATATTTATGTCTTTAATGACAATATATGTTTTCAATATTTTTTACTAACAGCACATATAGGCAACAGTGTTACACGTGCAATTGGCGTATAGGCAATATTGCAATTTTCTTATTGTTTGTAACATTTATACATTATTGACAAACTACTGATCGATATTATTGAGGTATTTGTGCTTTAGTACAGTTATATAAAAAAATTATATGTATCACACAGTAAACTTTTTGTTAAATAATACCGATAATAGCCGGTGTTTGTAAAGTAAAATTATGATGTTCTCTAAATCTTGCTTTATATTTATAATACTTTTAGGAATCAACTTTAACGTTTAATGGTAAAACATAATGTCAAATCAAAGACCAATTTCTTGTGGTCTTGACTTTTGTGCAGTACCAGATTTGAGTAATTGTCTTTTTACGGCACATGCATCAAAGTAAGCAACAAATTATAATGTATATTTTATCGTTCACCTTTATATCATTATTGTTATTGACTTTACTTACAGATATGAGTTTATATGCGCTCCACTTGTCCATCCATTGTTTAAAAGAGAATTTATTTCTGGAAAGGCAAAAGATCGTGCTGGACCATTTACCAGGCCAGACATAGTTTTATGCAGTTCTGGTAAGGGCAATCAGTACTGAAGAACTCAAGCAACAAAATATTATTAAAATATTATTACTTATTTTATAGATTGGAATACTTTAGTTATTGGTAAATTATCACCACATATTAAAGTTGATTCAAAAAATCCTAGCTTAAGGAAAAACAGCGAAGAAGCTTTAAAGCAAGAATTAGCTTTAGCAAGTCATTTAGGTCTTATAGGAGTTACTTTTAAATTGACAAAAGGAATAAAAGAAAATGCAAATCTTAGCCGCATTATTTGTGATAGAGTTTCAAGCATGTACAGTTTACAGGTATACTGATTAACAAAATAAATTTATCATATGCTTGTAAACTAAAGTTGTCTTAATATCATTATAGGTTTGGGTTCAAGTTCCAATGGAAAATCCAATCAAACAAGCTTCTTCTTACAGAGAAGAAGATTGCGGGGGTATAGTAGAAAGTCCATGGGAATGGTGGAATGCCTTCAGAATAGTTTGTGATTATAATAAATATGTAGGTGTTGCATTAATTGTTAGCCATGATCTTCCTGATCAAAAAGAGGTATCTCAAAAATTGTTGTTTTCTACGTATTTCATTAGTAACATGAAAATTCAAATGTAATAAAGGTGATTTAATTTTAAGATTGATAGGTGGCTAGGAGAACCAGTTAAGTGTTTGATCTTTCCAACAACATTATTTATCACAAACAAAAAAGGATATCCTGTACTCAGTAAAGCACATCAGACATTAGTGAAAAAGTTTGCCATGCTAGAAGTACAATTTATACTTACAGGGCAAAATCGATATCAAAGTATTACTTATTATCATAACTATTTGGAGTACTTATGGAAGGTAGAATTTTATATATATTTAGTTTCAATTTTTTAATAATAATTTGGTTCAAATATTTCTATTTAATTATAACAATTTCGTACAGGATCGTGCATCAGATGGACCAGTTGAAAGATATGCTCGTGGTTATGAAGATTATCTGCAATGTCCTTTACAACCACTTATGGATAATCTTGAATCTCAAACATATGAAGTGTTTGAGAAGGATCCTGTTAAATATACACAATATCAAACTGCTATTTATCAAGCAATTAATATGATTGTGCAGACAATAGAAGACAAAAATAAGAAAATGTACTAAAATACAAAAATAATTATAACTATTGACAAAACAATACCATCTATTCACAAAATCCGCAATCACTTAGTTGTCAATTCAATAATTATAAAAATGTATTACCATTGCTCAAAAATGTAAAATTTTATTTTAATTTTTAGAGTAATAATGGTAGTTGGAGCTGGAAGAGGACCACTTGTTTGTGCATCTTTAAATGCAGCAGAAAAAGCAAATCACCCAGTTAAAGTATATGCTGTGGAAAAAAATCCTAATGCAGTATTGACGTAAGATTTAATAATTGTAAACTTTCTTGTGCATTATGTAGAGATATATCTTTTTAATTTATTATGCATATAGTTTACAAGCACTAGAAAAAGATTTGTGGGAGGGCAAGGTAACAGTAGTATCTTGTGATATGAGAGAATGGAACTCCCCTGAAAATGCTGATATTATGGTGTCAGAGTTACTTGGTTCCTTTGGTGATAATGAACTTTCTCCAGAGTGTTTGGATGGCATTCAGCGATTTTTAAAACGTACATCATTTTATTATATTACAAATATTATTAATGAAATATTTCAACTTTCGTACTTATTTTTATAAATCATTTAATACTGTCTATCATCAGCTAATGGTATATGTATACCATCTTCGTACACATCATATATTGCGCCCGTGCAGTCGTCTAAATTGTACAATGAAGTAAGACAATACGGAGAAAAAGACAAACACTCTTTAGCGCACTTCGAGAATTCATATGTAGTTCATCTACAAAATAAATATGACATTGCAAAACCGCAACCATTATTTACTTTTAAACATCCAAATTACGGTTAGTAAATCAGCAATATTTATACACTGCTATTACATGATATATGTCTTTTAAGTGTTATTACATTTTCAGCACCTTTTATTGATAATTCAAGATATGAAACAAGAGTATTTAAAGTACGTCAAAATTCTGTATTACATGGCTTCTCTGGATATTTTGATACTATTCTATTCAACAATATCACACTAAGCACAAAACCTAGTACACATAGTCCTGGAATGTTCAGTTGGTTTCCTATCTTTTTCCCAATTAGGGTAAGATAAATTTATATTATTGTATTTTAAAAGAACGTAACATAAAATACAATTTATTGTTATAGGAACCAGTACAATTAAAAGCTGGGGACGAAATAGTTGTCCATTTTTGGCGTCAGTGTAATTCTAAGAAGGTGTGGTATGAATGGTGTATTAGCGAGCCATTTCCAGGACCTATCCATAATCCTGGTGGTCGTTCTTATACTATGGGTTTATGAGTTAATGTTTATTTTCGTGACTCATTTATTTAAAAAGAAATCTCTAATATTATAAAATATCTTTCATCAATAAAACTGTAGCAAATATTCTGTTACACATTTTTTCTAATAAAAGTGATTCATTATACAACTTCTTGAATAGATTATTGGTTCTAATAAACAGAAAATATTCTTTTAATTTTGTAGAATAAATTCCTGATATATATATATATAAAATATTTCGAAATTAGTATAGATGTATCGAATGTTCATGCTTATTAAAGAATTGGATATATACATTTACATTTTAAAAAATATCTATCTAACATTAAGTGATATATTAATATAATTTTGTCATAAATGATATAAAATAGAGATAATTTAATAAATGTCTTAGATTAGTGTTTAACGTTTTTGTTTGTGGATTATTCATATCCAACACGGAGGTCACCGATATTGCACAAGTTTGATAACATAAATTACAAGTTATCTGCCGAGCGTGTTTCTAATGACCTTTTAACCTCACGTGATCACACACAGAATTTCAATAATATTACGTTTTGTCTAGAGCTATAAAAAGATTTTTACTTTCAAGTTAAAAAAGTAGATCTCGTTTTTGTTATCAAAATTAAGAAATTGGAACATTACTCTTTCAAGAAAATACATATTAATACTATATACTTACTTTCACATACTTTCTATAAATTTTAATCTAATTTTTTACTGAAATCATATGATGCGATTAGAAATTAATTAAAAATATTTTTCAAATAATTTATAATAATTAAGCTTTTATTTATAACAGTTAATTTATTAAGCCTTTGTTATACAAATCATAGTAACAACGAATATTTAGAATCATTATTTATTTTTATTTATATTATTTATGAAGACATGTAATCAATAATTATAATAAATAATGTGATTATTTATTATAATTTAAAATATTTATATACATATATAAGTATTTATTGAGTATATAGTATACATATGTAAGTGTACAATATTTATATGTATATTTGATTGGCAATAGTTTGAATTATGATGATGAAATATATTATACACGATAAGAATCGTCGATAATCTAAGAACACATGCTACATAGAAATATATTAATTCCTTCAAATCCCGCGTTTCATTCATATTAAACTCTGCCGACATTGGGGAAACATTACAAAATTAGTTGAGAACGTAACGGTCACTGCACGATACGTGTTTTATAGGTTAAAATTATCTGATTGTTTTAAAACTAAAAAATATAACTTAACATGGCAAAAGTAGTTGCACAAATGGCAAAATATACTGCGAAAACATTTTTACGTACTTCGAGAGAAAATTTATTTAACTTTCCTACTCCGAAAGTGTCATTATATGTTTCACGTTCCATCGTTACTACTCGTTGCTTAAATGCCGGTAAGTTTAATATGTATATTAAAAACACAAAGTAAAAAAAATTATATATTTATAATAATATTCTTAGAAACAAGATCTTAATGCTGGCAGTATATTTATTGGTTATTAATTATCAATAATCTAAAGAAGAATATTGCATCACGCAAACATATCTTATTGCATTTAAAACGAATTGCCATTCATGTACATATTTTTGTTGTTTATAATATTTAAAAGCTTAATTATTTAGGAAAATTGGTTTATGAAATGTAGTTGAATAAAATAAAATAAATATTTTTTAGTTTATAGTAAAGTTTATTTTTTAGTAAATATTTTTTTAGTTTATAAATATGATGTATTTAAAATACTGTCTTTTTATTAAACAAGATTAATGGATATTTTTTTTATATTTAAAAATTATAAATAAAATTTTTAGAAAGATTTTATACGGAAAAACATGAGTGGATAACAATTGATGGTAACATAGGCATAGTTGGAATATCCAATTATGCACAAGAAGCACTGGGTGATGTTGTTTATGCTCAGCTTCCAGATGTTGGTTCTGAAATAGAGAAAGAAGGTTAGAACGTTTGTATTTTAGATGTCTCTCTTAAAATAAAAATTGAACTCTATTATGTTTTCTACTTGATAAAAATGAATTCCTTTACAGTTGAATGTGGAGCTTTAGAGTCAGTGAAAGCTGCTTCTGATTTATATAGTCCTGTCAGTGGGAAAGTAATAGCAAAAAATGAAGAAGTTGAAAAAACGCCCAGTTTAATAAATACCTCTTGTTATGAAAAAGGATGGTTATTCAAAATAGAATTAAGTAAATCTGATGATCTAAAAAGTCTAATGAATGAGGAAGCGTACAATGAATATTTAAAGTCTGATCCATCATAAACATATTATGTTTCTGACATGTATAAAATTAGTTGATAATGATTTAATTTTTGTTATTTTCAATTGTGTCATTAGTGAAAAAGAAATATGAATATTTTTATTTATTTTAAACCTTGTAATAATCATGCATGATCAAATATATATATGAATATCATATTATTAGCAAAATAAGTATAGTTTATAATTGATTGTTTAATCAAATAGGAAGGCATTGCCTCCAAGAACACAAATTTATAAATTGTGCAATTGTAATAAAGTGTTATAAACTAATATATTGTATCTTTGCAAACGTAAAACAATAAATTGTAAACATTATTTTGTATATAATAAAGATTAGGTAGTATTTTTAATGAAATAAATGTGGTGTATTATGTAAACATTGCAAATTAAGAATATGAAGCTATGTGCAGTAGTTAGCTGATGTCTTTATTAACCACTGTGCATTTTCTTATCTTGTTACCATATTTGTACAAAGCAAACAAATGTTTTAATATACATGTTATTAGGTATACGAATGACACCATTGTTACAAATTATAATAAACTTTGTGTTGTACATTAACGCATTTAAATTATAATAACTTGTATGTATAAAGAAACAATTGAATGTTTTGGAATACTATTTGTAAATTTTTGAAAATTGTCTGCTTAATAATTTACATAGTACCATCCTTTACCCTCCTGTTGAAAACTATCTTACGTCTCGTGTTCATTGCATGTATTTTTACAATAACAGCAAAGACAGGAGTGCAATAAGGGAAATATTATCATATAATAGGAGTTCAATTAGTATAATATATAAAAATAGCGCTGTCAATCCTAAAAGGAACAGTTATCAGTTAATAATAAAGATATATTTACAATCAATCATTTTTTTTCTACATAATTTACAATTGCCAACTCCTAATGGCAGTGTCAACAACGCATAATAGTTCATCATTTAATGTTAATTCCAATTATTTATTGGATCAAAAAATCACATCGATATTAAATTAGATTGTTTGCCAATTATAATTGGTAACTGTACATATTTAACACAATGCTTATAACACCACTATTATATTTCCTAATTACAATTATTAATAAACACTTTATAACAGAATCGAGCGGACGATTAAATAGGATGGACACATACAAAGATCATCGATTTGGGGACAATATTTAGAAGAGACAATTTTCATTTTTTTGAGACAGTTGTGTTTGCGATTTTTGTAAGTTGTTCCAAAATTATCAGACCGACACGTTCTACAAGAACTCTTGAAGATAGATGAATGTACAATAAATAAAATATTATTTGATTTTACCCAAACAGCAACACAAGATTAAACATGACTTTAGATACTTCGTTGATAATTTTTAAATTTTGACTGGAATATATCGTACACATATCATAAGGAAGTATAATCTAATTTGGAATAAATATAATAATAACTAAAATAGTTAACATGGAAATATAACGGGTACAATACTTGAATGGAACTTTTATATTCTGTCGATACGCATATTACAGAAGTCGTAGATTTTAAATCTACGTAGGTAACATTCATACATTCCATTTAATTTGCTATCTGGGTGTCTATTCTGAGGTATGTGGTTTACTAAAAATGTAAAAATGTAAGACTTAATACAGTTATGAAGAGGTAGACATTTATATGCGAGTTAAATAAAGGCAATCCGTTTTGAAAGTATTATTTAAAGAGCCAATAATAATGCAAGCTAGTTTTGTTTCGATCGATCAATTAAAAGAACCAGGCGATTTGAAAATTTGGGAACATGTCAATATATATTTTGCATTTATATCGAAGATTTCAAAAATTTTTCCATGGACACAAATCTTTACTCACACGATAAGTACATGCAAGCTTCTGAAAATATATATTCTTATGTATATATATTCTTTCATGGTAGTAATACTCGCAGCTACTCCTCCTGATTTGATTCAACACTCGATTCTTAATCTAATGTGGCATCGAGTTTTCTTTTTACATACATCAATAAATCGTTTAAATCTATATTTAATATCTTATATCGAAGTCGGTGGAAAAGTGAAAGTAGTAAAATAGCATTTTTCCCAGGTACTTCTTTGATAGAGGATATAAACAGTAGGAGTTGCAAAGGGTGGTACTACCAGCCTACCAGTACGAGCAAAGATTTCTGTTCCTGTTGCCACACTTGAGCCTCGAATCTAGCACGTGTAATTACCGATGGCTTAGATACCACAGGCGTCGAAAAGACAACCTTCACAGCACTGAAAAGTTTCTGACTATTGACTAAACAATAATAATCTATTAGTGAAAAATTACTACGTTCGATCGCTATCTTAACATTCAGTAAATATTTATCTATTTAACAACTGCGATAAGACAATATTGATCTTATATACTTAATATTAATCGCTAGATAATGTAGGACCACATAAACCTTGCTCCAATGATTCTTTTATTTCTTAAAACAGAATCTTTATTATGATACAATATACAATAATAAAATATCGCAATTTGTGGTTATTCTTTTTCCGCCACCTATTTGAAAAATAATAAAAGAGAAATACATGAATAAAACTCTAAAATTAGTGAAGACATTAAGTAGCTAATGATTTTTTCTCAGTAAGCAACAGAAATATATTTATTTCATTAAACTATACACAAAATATTATAATTACATATTTAACATGATTCATACTTTACAACGTAATTGGAATGTGTTAACTAGTATTTACAATGTAGTAGCCCTGCTGTGTGCAAGTGTGACAAAATGCAGATTTTTCATAGGAAGTTCTAAGGATGCCCAGGTGGCCGTGCGACATATATGTATATATGTATATATAAGTATATCACATGAAATTTTACTGTCGTTCAAGTATGCCCATTGAATCCCTTGCAGAAGCACAATTGACTGGAGAGTCGACAATTTCTTTCGTTCGTTACTATTAGGATTATCTTTTTGTTAAAATGAGAGCAAGGCTTCAGTGGTATATGCTTAAAAATAATCGCTTCTAGTATTAGAAAAATAGCTTTACTTATTTAGACAAAAGTTGCCTGCCCTTTGACCAATATTTTGTTAACCACCCTTTGTACTGTTTTCAAGGCATCTTGCTTACTGTTTCCCTGCGCTTGTACCCATCAACAGGGGTAATAATTCTCCATGGATACATCTCTAAAACTTCAACATCAAATATAGAAAATATATGTCATTATGTTTATATATTTAGATACACTTTATAATACATATATTATGTATATATGTAAAGTATGTACGTCTATACTTGATTTGTTTGCCTAGGTATCTTTTGAACCAGACCCCCGAACTTGGTCCAATACCTAAGCAGCATTAGCTCTTAATAGGTACTTGAGGTCCACTCTGACAATAAGGGGCTCTATCTTGATTTTTTAGATATAGCAATAGACTAATTCATGGCAAAAGTGCCAAACGAATCTATCGTTTCATTTTCTTTTAGCATGAAGCATTTCCATGAGAAGAGTTTGAGTTGGTGCTCCACCGCTACAATGCTTCTGATAAAGGTGATCTTCTCCCCTGCTCGCTACCACATGGATTCCAGGTAATACTGCTAGCAGCTTGTTAAATTTATCCTGTTTGTATAAAATCTCATGTATATCGAATCGTTCACTAAGCTATCAGAAATTAGAAAAAAGAAAACCTATGTACATATATATGAGATAAACATACCGGTATAGAAGGATAACATGTCAACGTGTAATCCAAAAGAGCTTGTTGGACTTGTTCGTGTCCATCTTGTACATGTTTCTTGTTAACTAACCCACGAACTTCTGCATATTTAAATAAAATTGATGCGTCACAATGATTTTTGTCTAATAATAACATAATCTCATAGCGAGACACGTAAATATAAGACAAATCTAGAGAAAAAAGAAAGCGTACCATGATTGAGCAGCATCAAGAATTTCATGCATATATAGTCTGAAAGATCAAATTTGAGTTCCTGAAGTTTGGACGACAAATCATTGAAAAGGTCTGCCAAAGAAGGAACTCCAAGTAGGCCGAGGCAAAGGAGATCAAACTTTTGGCCATTATGAAGCGTAGTCTCATCAGGTAGATTATTGTGTAACCTTTGATGAAGATGGTCGAGCACCAACATATCCGACCAGGAGTGCTGTAGCAACTTCATTTGGTCATCAACCTGCCCAAAAGAACGTAAATTGTAAAGATGTATATAAAATTTTGTCAGATTGAAATGTAAAAATTGTGCTAAATTTTTTAATAAAACGACTTGTAACATATATATCAAATGAATTTAATCGAGACATTGAAATTTTGAATAAAAATAATTCAAAGAAATAATTAAAACTCGAAAATTTGAATTTTGAAATATAAAATTGAAAAATAGTGTAACAAAAGCTAGTATTATTTATAAAAGGAAAATTATATGTTAATTTTTAAGAAATATTATTTAATAAGCGACAAAATCTTTATATTCGTGCTCCATATTGTTCGTAAAATACAAAAGCATGGCTTGAGACTTGAGATATCGATGAAACGATGACAGAACATTTTACAGATTTCCAAAGACAAACACAACAAAAAGTATATAATCGGTTAAGTAAACGGTTTATAATTAACATGGGCCTGCTTTAGGGCAACCGCCATAACCCAGAAACGTATCTTGTTATGACCTAGATATGAGGCGATGCTTGAAATCATTCAGTGATTGTGCAATGCTGTTGGTTACCTCACATCCCCGCTCATACTACCAACAGGCCAGCGAGGAGTTATTTATCGGTAAGAACTAACTTCTCTTGAAAAAGATTCTCGACGACGGTTAAAACCGTGAAATTTTTATATCTCCTATAATAGACGCTTAATATACGCTTCTTTATCGTATAATTACAAACTGATCTAATTTCCACGAAAAGATATACGATATTTCAATAATTTGTAGATAGAAGTTGAAAGTGAATTTACGTATACCGATCAATAGAAGATTCGCTCTAACGCATTGTTCTACATTATGTTGGAGGACAAACAGTTCATATAATTGAAGTTCATACAGCTAATAGAAGTTTACTAATACTCCTCGTCATATTTCTTACTGAAATAAGCGGAGGTAGATGTTTTCATATAAACGAATCCAATCGGTTACTTAACAAGTTAATCGCATACTAACGAAAATTTCCATAGAAAAAATAAATATAAATGAAGTTCTACATTTATATACTCTTCCTATAAGCCGATGACGTTTCGATAAATTCAAGTCAACTTACACGGCGTTATATATACACGTTAAATAAGTATATTTAACCCTCCATAGGTAAACTAGGTCATTCATATCCAAGCTTAATTTTTCGCTATTCTAAACTTGCAAAGTATCTAAAAAAAAAATTCTAGGATACCTATCGGAATATTTTTACTACGTTTTATACGTTATACACCATCGTTAAATCGAATACCTGAAACTTTGCTCGGTAAAAATAAAAAATCAAAGGAAGCAGAGATATGAGAGATCGAAATTTCTCTTGGATCCTAAACGAGCCAATTTGCCTAGTTGAGAGGGATTAAAGTCAACAACATTGGCACCAACCTTGAGATCCTTGAAGAATACCGAATTCCTTGCCCAGTCCACCTGCGAGAACAGATTCTGATCGAGCACTTTGCACATTAATTCGAACAAGTCCACTTCACACTGATTGTACGTTTGATTTTGTAACAGTCCAAAAAGGGATGCCTGCCACTCGCGATCATCGACCGTTTGAACGAAGTCTCTTATCATCGGACTAGTTTTCAACGTGGCGGTAGAGGGTGCGGAACCAGCAGCCCCGTGAGTGGACTGTTCGCCGAAGTTGAAGGCCTTCGGGCTAGGGGTGGTGGAATTGGCAGCCCATAGCTTGCTATCCAGGCCAGGGTTGAGGTTGTGCAGGTGATTACCGCCAGAAATGTTTGGCTGGGAGGACGGTGCGATCAGTTGATGCTGACCAGCTCCGCTGCCAGCTTGTGTCGTGACCAGACCAGCGGCCACGGCTGCGGGGGATGGACTCGAATCTGGAGAAGACGTTAGACTCGAGACCTGAGGTATTTGTATTTCCTGTTTAATATGCAGGAAAGGCGTTACGGCGGAGGGATAGTTCGATGGGTCACCGAGGCTGCCGCGTATCGTTTGCAGTGCCAGCTGCCGTTGTCTCATCATTTGTAGCTTCCGCGCTCGGTCTCTCTTGTACATAGGTCCAAATTTATTCCTACCACCTCTCATTCGGTCCGCCCGCACGGCTACAACAGAATCAAACGTACAAAATATTGAAACAACAGGATCAGTTCTTCGGCTTTGGTCGCAAATACATCTGAAACACGAATCGAACGGTTACTCGGGCTTTGTTGGATGATCGAACGAAATGATTTTGTTAGTATTTGCATGTTATGTTACGCGTCTTAACAATTTTGCGTCGTTCTTGATGATGTCTGAGAAAATGATCGTTGAGACGACATTTGACGATCAAAGCTTCGGTTTCAGCGACAAATCTATCCGAAAGACGAGTCGAACTTTAGCTTTTTAATTGAACCAAACGATCTTGTTCGTTTTTCCAGCTTTCAAATAATTCTGTACGACTTTGAACGATTTTCCATGGCTGAGAAACGATAATTGAATTTGAAATTTGTTTTGGTAATTAAGCGTAGTCTTCGCCAATGTTCGAGCTTAAAGAAGCGCCACGTTCCAGAAGGAGACGAGATTTAATCTTAGCCAAACGGGACAAAGCGTAAACCACTTGCGACTATCCTTGTTCTACGACTAGCGACACGTCTACTTGCTGCTTGTAAACGAGTAGCTACGTGTACGACATGGATCTCCACCTACGAAAGCTGCAGGTGTTATTTGGCACGTTAAACCCGTCATTATCGAGAGCGAACGTTAAGACTTGCCAGCGTCGATTATTTATTGTCTGTCATTAACTTCAAGGGACAACCTGTTGACATTCTTCTTTTACAACACTGCCAATGTAAATACTTCTTCGATATTTATGGGTAAGGATATCGAGATAATAAAAATTCCCTAACACGTAACGAGAAACGAAATATCGAAAGATTTTAGTACAAAGCGGCCTCTTTCGTGCGACCCAGTTGGATGTTTACGCTCGAAACTAAGTATTACTGCATCTCCGAGTTAAGATTCACATTGTAAACAACAGATTCCCAGATGTGTGGTCTCGGGGCCGGAAGTGGCCCAGCAGAGGAACTCGATATGGATCCCCCTTGGCAGCGAGGGATTAAAATGTGCCTTGGTGAGTCTGCCGCATTAAAGTACCGGTGTTTCCTTAGCCAGTAAACGTGATACGAATTCGCATCTACTTAACAAAAAAAAAAAAAAAGAAAAAAAAAGAAAAAAGTAAGAAGAAGAAGAAGAAAAAAGGAAAAGAAAGAAAAGAAACGGATCTTCATCGTAAGATCAATTCAAAATTCCATTTCCCCGTTTCTAAATTTAAACTTTCGAAAGGCGAATTAAAAAGGAAAATGTCGAGACAGAAAGCCAAAAGGATAATGGAATAAAATGAAAGACTAATAATAATGTGGAAAGAAAAAAGAACAGTCTCGCGCCATAAAAGGTGGCCGGTTCATCCATGTGCATCGCGACGGAGAAGTTGATGGCGGTGTGGCAACGTATCCCCGAGAAGAGGTCGTGTGCCCGATGACGATCATCCGCGATCCTCAGGGTCACGGTGCTATCGAGGGAGGATTTCGTGCAGCTTTAACGATTTATAGGGCGGACACGCGGCTAAATCGGCGGCGTTGCCTATTTTCGTACGAGGTGTTTGCTATCCGTCGTCGCATGAAAACACCAGCGAACACGAACAAGCGAACGAGCGAGCGAGTAAGCGAGCAAGCGCGGTGCGCGCTCGTTGAAAGTGAAAGGAGGTTGAATCGCTTGCCCGTCCACTTCTGCCTCTGAGCCGGCCTGCCGAGGGAGGAGGGCCACCCCTCTGCCCCCACCTCCTCGCACACATATATTCATACACATACACATAGACAGGAACCGTGTCGAATACCGTCCGACACCCCGCCACCTCCTAACTCTACTTATTCCCTTCCCTCGACCCTACTACTCTCTTACCCCTCTCTGAACACCTCTCGCCTCCCGTCGATCCACATTGCCGCCTCCGCCACCCTGTGTGCGCGCGACCGCTTACGCCTCCTCTCTTTTTCTCTTCTTTCGTTCGTCTCTCGTTCTCACCGATTCCCTTTGCCTCCTCCTTCTCCTCTTCCTTCTCCTTTTTCGCTACTTCTGACTGCTTGCGTTTCCTTCTCTTTTCTCCTCTCGTACGAAACAGCCACCTTTTCTCGCCTTTCCTCCGTCGATTCCCTGCCTTTTTCGAATATACTCCCGTTCCTGTTCTTTCCTGGCGTTCCTCGTCTCCCTGAAAACTCCGCATAACGCGGCCACGCACTGTCGCGGCGTCCGAACATCCGCGAATACGATTGCAACCGTGTCACAGTCTATAACTTTGTATATGTACAATTCGCACGCACACACAGTCACACACACACACATATATAATACAATATATACATGAAATATAATATTAAAATATAATAAACATGTACATGTACATATACATATATATATTTGAATATTTTCGTTTCGCGCAATTTAGAAACTTTTAGTACGGAGCTATACGACTGGAACGAAGAAGGACATCCGTTAATTGCCTTCCCGTCAGGAGCAATTATTCTCGATAACTATTGGCCGGAAAGATAATTCCAGCATGGAGGACTGAGAGGTAGAATATCACGGCAGAGCAACGATGGATTCGCCGCCGTAAACTTGACACTCGGCTGCGAGCATTCGTTTCCCGAACTTTTCTGCCGTCAGTGCTCCGACGAATACGTACTATGCAAAGCGAGCGTCATCCATCATCCAAGGATTACGCGAACGTACTCGCGCGAGCACGCCTCCTCGTCTTTTCTGCTCCTATCCGCGACACTCTCTTTTCTCTCTTTCTGCAACATACGTGACCGACTCGCCGAGAATTCAGACAATAGCCGAGAGAGCAAGCCAATAACGAAAGTTGCTAAACTTGACTTTCAGGTTGTTGCTTTCGGCCACTTGTTCTCGATTGCTCGCTTAATGCTACGCAACGCCGCCATCGGCTATCTCGCTGACTTATTTAACACGTGTAAAAAGCTACCTCGCTGCGTACCTCCTTTTTCGATCCTTCGTTTACGATCTTTCGTCCACGCGTTTCCCCCTCTTATTCCATATTCCATCTCGCTTCAGCTTCTTTCCTTCGTCATATTCTTCTGTTTACACCGTTCGTTATTTCGTATTTCTTATACGCAAGAGTTTCATTCCTCTGAAAAGAAAAGATAGATTGGATTACGATCTTCCGTGCATTTCGTTTTCTCGCCCTCTTTCACCCTGTCTTGTATATTCATTGTAACGAAGAACTCGAGGAGACTGGAAGGGTCCAAAGATCGGCGTAGATCACGGTTAAACTTGACTCTCGGTTCAGCAAGGTTTCTTTTCTCTCTCCTTATTGCCATCCTACGTTTACGATCATTCTCCCGTGGTCTTTCTTCTCCCGTGGTTTCACCGAGCATCGTAGGTGTTACACGCTGTCAGACGTACATCTTTCTACCTTTAATTTGACGCCAGGTGCATCGTGCGCTTGGAAATCGTCCTGCCTTATGTATGTGATGTAAATACTTCTGCTGCAACGAAACTCGCGTTCAACGCGAAGACTATCCGGTCGATAAATCCATCTTAAAAACTTCATTCGTCTTTGGATCGCCTTCAACGATATCGACGTTCGTTTAATCACATCATTCGCGTAGAAATCAAAAGCGTAGAGGTTGAATTTCATTGAATTAATTATACATGTCGTAGGATTCTAATTTTGATTAATTCTCATATTAAAGCATACGATTATTTAACGCACAATTATTTAACTGTTATCTTTCTGATATCTTTTAGTGTTCGCAAAGGAATTTAATTCCCAACTGTTGCGGTAAAACGAGAACGTCTTATCTTTCCGATGGAGGTGAATACCTCTCAATGAAAGAAATTAAATTTCAGCTTGTAAATTGTAATTAAGCATCTCGATCTAATTAAAGATAATCAATTGTACGATTAAAGAGATACGACGTCATACGTTTGTTATTTATCTTACTCAAAAACTAACACGTCTTACCACCAACGATGTTATAATTGCAATTATAATTACTACAATTTCTATTTTACGATCGTAACTCGATCTGTGGTACATTAAAACGATAACGTCGAGCAACTAAAAATCTTGCACAGTGATCTACGTAGTACATTTGTAAGTTAATACAATTGGAGATACGAGTACGAATGGAAAACTTGCAGCCAGTCGGAAACACTTACGACGCGCAAAGACACGAGTACACTCGTGACTGGTTAACAATGTGTTAAAACTCGAGACTCTTTCACCCCGGAAACTCCGTGGAAATGATCTATATCGTCTAACTTCCGTGTCACACACGTTTCCTGTGTTTTTGTTAAACAAGCGAAGCGTGAACAACGTGAACGGAGAGATTCAACAGTTTCTATCGCCCGGGATGGTGTCCACCGAGTGGGTGGCGGAGTTTCGCGTGGGCAGAGGACATTAGCGTATCGATATATACGGCTCGATTTGATCGGGCTCGATCGTCAAATATACATGCCAGACAGCGACACTGATGATATTTACGAGTCGAATTCCGGGGTACCCAGCGGGTTGGAACCCGCGGAAACGTGGAATCAAACCGGAGGAACAGTGTACCTCGGTGAAGTAGCAACCGGAAGTTCGAACAGGACGCGCGGAATTGCGTCGTTGTGGCGTCGAGTTTCGTGGCTGCTCTTGACTCCATTACGCGAACGAAATTATCGATAAATTACAGCGATCAGCGACGCTGGGATATTATAGACTTTTACGATGTAAAACGATAATATCATTAAGAATCTTGCTTCTCTATTTTCATCGATAGAAATTCTACGAGAAAAACGTAGTAAAGAACAGGATTGATTACCGATAAATTAGACTAGCGGAGTAAGAAGGCTATTGAGAATTTCAGATTTCCCGCAATTTCATCTAACCCCTGTGAAAATTGTACGAAAGGATCATGAATCGCGATACTCGTGACACGAATAAACCGAGACGATTCGATTTATGAGAGAGAATTTCTGACTCTTGGGTTGCGCAGGGATGTGGCAAGACGAGAGTCGTGGTGTTACCAAAGCGGCATATAAATGCGTTAAATACACCTCAGGACGATTT